CACGAGGTGCTCAAACGACATGCGAACGCATTCGCCCTTGTCGTTAGACTCGATGTGCGGTCGATTCAGCCACACATCCTCGCTGAAGCGTTGAGTGTTTTTATTCGTCTTCTGCCCTTTCCGTCCCGTCCCACAACCCCGGATGAACTCGACCACAGTTCTTTCTCGTCCCCTCAGCGAGTCATGCTCGGATTTACGGTCACGAGCCACCTCTCCGGCATTACAGTCCCATAGGGCGAGGGTTTTGCCCTTCGTGCCTTCGTGTGCGTTTATTTGAAAGAGCAGCCACACGTGCCACTCGAAGGCTGCCCAGGCCGCGTGCGTCTTCGCGACGGGAGTCTCCGTCCAGGTCGCCATGACGGCGACAGAGACCCGCACACCTACCTGGCTGATCAGGAAATTATTCAAAAAGTCCTCGTTGGTCACGGCGAGGCACTTGGTAACCAGCCGTTGATCCTTCCGGTTCAGAAAGGAGATGACGCGGGGGTGGATGCGGAACATGCCGGGCCGCTTGTCGTCGAGGATCTGCTGCAGACGTTCGATGATCGGCGTGTAATCAGAGGCTGGCGTTTTTCCGTGTAGGCCGCCGATGAGCCGCCGTAGCTCTGTGATGACGGGGTCGCCCTTGGATTTGCCACGATCAGGATTCCGACGTGGCCCTGTGGATAAATGCGATGAGTGACTTCCCAAGACTAGTGAGAACACTGACGAGCTGATGGATCGGTCATAACCTGCTCCGCACACTTCAGTACAATGGGGATGGAAGTGAAACGGGAAAATAAAAACACTTACCACCGCGGGGATGCTCGATTTCGGGTGGAAATCATCATCGTTCGGAGCCGTCTTCCTGCGCTTGGAACGGCGAGTGCCACGGGGCGGCGGAGGCGATGGGTCGGGCAGCAGCGTCGCCGCATCATTTTCTGTGCGAATGCGGGCCAGCGTAGCGTCGTCCACCATGTCGCATATCTGAATCGAAAGTCAGGTAAAACTTAAAAAACATCGAATTACAAACGAGGAGCCTATGGGGAGGCGACTCGGCCGCCGACGATGGCCCCGTTTGGGCGGAAGAGTAAGACGCACCCGGCCTTCGAGCCGGAAGCTCGACGTAAGGCTACAAGCCGCGAGAATCAGAGCAACGAGTTCAGCCAGAGACAAAGAGACTTACCCGTCGCCTGGGGTACCAACTCTCCCCCTCCTCGGACTCGGATCTGTCCATGGGGCGGTTTTGGTTGCGTTGGGTCATAATCTGTAAAACAGGATTACGATAAGCCGGGAGAGTGTGAACACAGTCATAGGGCACTCACGGACAGATCAGAGCCAGATGGAATTAGAGCCCGACCGCTACGGGAGTGATCTACCCAACCAGTAGCGTTGACGGAGGAGAAAATGGCAATAAGGGAGAAAGTGCCCTGCCCGCCCGCCTTATATGCAACTTCACTGCGGACTTTGAATGTGGCGGCCAGGAACAATGCTGCGAGGGTACTCCAAAATTCATATTGCAGAGATCGCCGCCGAGGCATGCACAAGCCCGGAACGGGTAAATCCTGCAACACCTACCGGATCTGGTAATTTTGAGAAACTGAAAAACACGGCCAATCGTATGATTGCTTCCGTTTTTGGATCCGCGGGCGGCGGAGATCGACCACGCCTCACTAGGCGTGGTTGATCTATTGAAAACCGAAACCGCGGGTGCTGTGCGCTATTACGTACATTGCGTCATCAGTGCCTGCAATGACTTTGACGGCGGAATAAACCCTCGAAGTCCGGGAACGGCCGGCCCGCCCTCACCGAGGTTGAGTGATTTGTTCAGACAGGGCAAATTCACTGCGTGAAATGTGGGATTACACAAGCTCAGGTGATTGACATCTGGAAATTCCTTCAACATTCCAACTACATTCCTGCCAGATTCTGTTTCTCCCTGATCTCCTTGTTATTGACACATTCGGGAGAGGTTTCAAGCAAGTTTCAGGTAGATTTCAGCTGGGATCTGGCAAATTTTGTCCTAATTCCACGGGGAAGCTGTAAATAATAAATGGCGCCACTTTGATTTGTCACGATGTGACCTCGACGTGTCTTGCTTCTTTCCCCTTCTCACCTCGCTCGTTTGCCAGAAAGCTGTGGCCTCTGCCGCCTTGTCCAGTCCTTCGGCGCTCAACTCAGATGTTGCCAACTGGGGGATGTCGTCCATGGACTGCATGCACGCGAAGACGGTCAGAATTATTTGATTTTAACTGTACCCGACGGATTCACGACTTGTACCAGTAAGCAGATAGTCCCTACTCTCTCACTGTCTCTAGTTGGTTGATTTTCACCTCCGACCGTTTATGTGCCAACTCACGCGATGTTTAGGTCATAGTGTGGCTCATGGGCGATACTTCCAATGCATAGCGTTGATATGTGGTCTTTGATGGGGGGCTGGCGTCCTTGCAGTACTCAAATTTGGACCACAGCAAGACCGTTGAGGTGAGTTAAGATTTGATAATCGCTTGCGACACATTTCCCGGCTTTAAACCAATCCCTGACGCATTCTCGGCATTCCCAGTCACCAACACCCACTCTGGCGCCACATCTGGCTACCCCGGCGGCTCCGTAGGTCCCGATCTGCAGCAATAAATCATGCGCCTAAACCTTGTGAGTTTCCGTTTGAATCAACTCATCAGACAAATGACATCGCTCCTTCCTAGGAGCGTATCCCGTCTTTCGCTTGCTCGCATATGGTTAGTATTTCATAAATTGTTGCGGTTTCTACTGAGACGCTGATTTCTTGTGAGATTTGTGTTCCCCCAAGCCGAGCGGACTGGTATGGGTGAAGCCTTCTCACAGGTAGGAATTCGCTCGTTCCCGATGCGCTGTAACAACTCACTTCTCAACTCGAACTGCATCTCCAGTGAGGTCCCCTATCCTCCCAGGGGCTTGGGATCCATTTGAGGTGCTTGTTCCTGTTGCTTGAGCTAGCCCGTTGTCGACCACCGACCAACGCAGTTTTCAACGTCGCACGCACTATACATAAGGTCGTCCCCAGGTCATAGGTGCCGTGTTTCATACGTTCCATTTATCCTGCGTTGACTGTGAGATTGTAGAATACTCGCTTCAGTGCACAGGCGTACCGTGGATTTGCGAAATCCGTTGCCGTCTGCTTCGCGAAACATCCTAACTTCCTTGCGTTGTATAACCACCATCTGTGGCTCTTGCACCTCCGCTATGGTTATTTGAGCGGCCGGTTCTAGCACTGTCCGGTATAATAGGCGTAGACTCTCCGGTCCCTTGAAACATATCTGGTTCTCTGTTCTTCAGTCGAGCTTCGTGCGACGGTGCAAGGAGAGGAAGAACATCCAAATTTGATTTGCCCAAAAGCCCAAATGCTGGAATTCTCTAATGTGTGCACGAACCTTAACTGTAATGTAGCTGAAATGTGCCGGTAACTTGACCATTCGGGGCAGATTCTGGATTTGAGGGATTTGGGTATGATCTCGGCGGAATGTGGGTATGATCTTGGCGGAATGTGGATAGAATCTACTGATTCTGGCCACATCCTGACTTTAGATCACATTTCACGCAGTGAAAGTCTGGAAACCTTACCAAAATCATTAGGATCGAATTGAGGAATACCAGAAAGCAAACTGACGCGCGTCAACGCCGCATATTGGTGCACGAGGGGGAATCAGTGGTCCCAGAGCCGGAATAAAGATTAAGTGTTCTCCAGATAACATTAAATACACCTATTGGCTGGCATTTGGTGAAGAACCGTTAGTCATATTCTATTGGACGGTATCCTACCACCACGAAAGGCCGCTGTTAACCCTACCACAATGAAACTGAACTAGGCACTGCCTTGGTGGAATGTCGTCTCTGGACGAAGGAATTTCAGCAAGGAGGCCACTTTGCGCGAGGTGCAACGATCGTACTTACGATAGGAATGCCTACCGCAGATTCAAGTCGAATAAAAGGTTAACAGACCGGTCGGAGAAAACTTCGGGAGTTCCGCGGCAAGTTGAACTATAGCCTTCAGTCCCTGACTTGTATCTCGTAAATTTCATCATCCTAACGGTAGACGATTCACGAAATTAAATTCATGTCGAAAGCACCCATCTAGCTGCAGCTGCTGGACTCTGTACTATTATGTATCACCACCAATCAGGCGCTGGGAAAGGAGTACAAGATGAGCAGATCCCCAATGTTGGTCTTGCAGTCGTTTTTCTCCTCCCTAAGTTCATCATATGGTTCCCGAACACTAGATGCTTCCCACTGTGTGGAACTACTCAATTTATGCCGCCGAGGAGGACAAAGCTGCTTTCCAGAGGTCCGTAAAGCATTGTTTGAACAGTCTCACTCGGTACACTGCTGAAGCCTTCCGGCGCTTCAGTCCCCGATACCCTGTTGCGTTCTCCAAGAAGTCAAAGGGTAGTAGCCCTAAGAGGACTCGTTGTATCAGGTGTTTAACTCAGAATTTGACGATTTCAGGCTTCTACAGACCTTTCTAAAGCTTCTGACAGACCGCAGTCACTTTAGATCAGGCAGACTCCCGACTTTTCCCCTGCGCCAGCCCTTATAGTCACCTCAGGCACAGCTCAGTTGGGTTGGCAAGCCGCATCCATCAGCCCTCGCCTTATCGGATTCGGCGTCTTCTCAACAATTGAGCTCCTTCAAATTTATATTGAACCTTGCCCGCCATCGAGTTGAGACTTTGCTGTGCGCCCGACTCAATGCTTCTCGTTTCAGCCGCAGCTTCAGGGTCCCGTTGCCGTAAGAGCGCAGCCCTTTTTGTCGGCGCGGGTCCCCCCATTGTTGCCCTTATACTTCCCTCTTGTTTCTCATAACCCATCAAGCCTTGGTAATGTAATGGTACCATCCCCCTGTACCGTTCTTCATTCAGGTTCGCCTCCTGACCAAGGCATATTCTTTTTCTCTGGTTATCCCGTTTAACCTTAGGGCACTTCCCAAAGACGCATATCAGTTGTATATGCTCTTATAATGCTCAATTGTTTGAGAATGTTGTCAGTGCCCTGGTAGTGTAATGGTAACACGCCTCTCGTTTCTTTCCGAAGCCTCTGTGAACATTTCTAGAGGTGATCCTGGTTCAATTCCAGGTCAGGACGTCGAATTTAACATCCATGATTTTTCCTTTTTGTTCCAGTTGATCTGAGCAAAAGGTCGTGTTCGAATTTCCGCTGTTTTATAAGCGCACCCTGAAAATGATCCCGAATCTCACGGACTCAAAGTGCCCGATACTGCATCTGAAGGTCTGCATTCTAGCAACCATTTCATCCATCCCTACCTCTCGCATAGGCGGAAATTTCTTAGCTGAGTATATTCTGGTTTCGAAACCAAAGAATTCCAGAACGTTCTCGAAGGCTCCCAGTTTCGTCAATTTTTGAACAACTGCATTTCTTCCAGTTTCATTTGACCAATCAATGTATGTATCACCATAATACGTTTGCGACTGGAGCGCCTGTGCCGCTTTTGCTTGACCGAGGTTGAGGACGAGGCGCACGCTCTTCTAGGATGTGCCAGGTGATAGTCTGTATTACTCGTATTTAAGCAAATGGCAAGGTTTCCAAGCACGCCCAGAGGGTGATATCTCCATTCATCTTTTTTTTCAACCAGTCGCAGTGTTTCTCCGCTGCGGGATTTAACAGCAATTCTCGTCCCGTGGTTGCAACTTCTCTTGGCACCGGAAAGCTGTAGAATCGTGTACTAGGTTTCAACAGCTGCAGTTCCGCTTTTTGCCAAGTTCCACAACTCCGCAGCCTGTCGCAGCAGATCGCAGCTTCACCGCGCTCCCGTTTCTCGGCGTCTCTGCTGTGGAATTTCACAGCAATCTGGCGTCCCGTGGATAGAAGCTGTTAACTACGGCTAACCACATCCAACAAGATAGGCCATCGCTACGCTCCGGCCACTGGAGAATGGCCGAACGCGATCGGATTTGAGGTAGTGTCGAGGAGGTGGAAGGATGAATAGCAGCTTGGCGAGTTGAAGCGGAGTGTCGAAAGAGAAAGACACGCCGCGGCACCGCCAACACTACGGAGGTCCGAGAGACTCCGAGAGAGTCGAGGAGTAAAACAATGAGGTGAAGCGAATTAGAAGCCAACCATTGGTCATAACCTCGCGCGGAGATCAAGACCCAGCGGATGAGGACACGGGAAGTGGGAATCGTAGAGGGAGCATAGGAAATTGCTGGCAATTTATCGTTAGAAAAACCCCTACAGGACTATTTGGCAACCTGCGGCGCAGTTTTGGCGCAGTCGAAAAAGTACAGCTGACGGCACTGCGCTGCACAGCTCACTGAACATGTGGCAAATTGGAAACAGTAAGTGCTGTTTAAGTTAGGAAGCCAAGGAAAATTGTAGCTGTTGATGAGAGTTGAATACCGAAAACAGATGTTTGGTTTGTCCTTAGCTTGGTCTTGGCTAGTTTTTTGAGTTGATGAAAGGTAAACACAAGCCCGACATCTCATTAAGAATACGAAGTATATTTGCTCTCCCCTTCATCTTCCAGGCTGAGGATTTACTCCAGCTGAAAATCTTCTTGGCTGAAAAGCTGTAGGTTTCAACAGCTTCGGCTGCGCTGTTGAATTTAGGCGCCGCAATTTACTGTTAGTATCGGCCGCAAGTTTACCTCAATATCTCAACTGTTATCAAAGAGTCAGTGCAAGAAGACCAGAACCAAACTCTCCCTCTTGGGGTTTCCACACTGCGACCTCCAAAAATTCTACTTTCGACATAAATTTCACATTTGGAAGCCCCTGTTTCTTCGATCTCCTCTCCCTCGGCGGCTCTCGAATTACTGTACTATTAAGTTCAGTTCGACAGTCACGGGTCACGGGCACCCTTGTCGACGTCGAACTTTGTTCAATGTCACGGGTCACCTCGCCCAACTGTCGAATTGGTTCACCGTGACATCCCCAGCGGCTCGCCTGGAAGTGCTGTTTTTTCGCGTTTTCGTGTCGAGGATTGTCGAATTTTGGCCGTCCGTCACGGTCACCACGACTGGTTGTCGGCTGTCGAATTTGGTTCAAAACGTCACGGGTCACACCCCATGTCGAATTGAACTTAATAGTACAGTACGGTTCTTTCATGCTGATGTGTGTCCCGGTTTCTTCGTGTTTTCAGTGGGCCATTTAGGTTTGCATTCACAGTCTTTCCGATGTTCGGACCCGCAATGTATCATACGTCTGTATTAAATGAGCTCATGCTTCATCTCCAAAAGTTTGATCTGGTCTGAAAACAATGCCAGAGCGTAGCGAAGGCTTCGGGTAATCATTTCAAGCAGAGAGTGAAAACAAGTTAAGGGAATTCAGGTTGCAGTCATTGCGTTGCCCAAGTTTAAGCTTAAACAAGGTCAAGCAGAGCAACATGGTAACGACGAGTCTCCAGACGGCCGCCAAATTCCAATGCGTACGGAGCCTTTTCCTTTTTTTCTTTTTTTTCGATCGCTTTTGGTCCCACTACATACGTATTGCTTGCCTCTCCGGCTGTCTGAATCACACAGTGTTTTTGTGACGAATACAATGAAACAAACTCTTACCTCAAACGGTATGCTCTGCAGCAGGAGCGTAGTATCTACTAGGCTTTCGGGTTGTGACATATCCAAAGAAACTACCGCTGGACTAATGGTGTGTATCCTTGCTGCCAGAGCGCAGCGACGGCATTTCTTGTGGTGGTAATGAATGAATCCAATTGATTGAGAGACTGGCAGTGATGCAGGGGGAACTTGAAGAAGTTCTCGGCGGTCCGAAGGTACTTCCACATCCCAGAAAGAAAGGGGAGAGGATTGGAGAACTGAGATGAACCCATGCGGTTTCGCTGCTGTCTTTAAGGTACGACGGAAGCGCCAACACCGTAATTCCACCGCAGTTCAACATTCCACCTGCGCTCGGGTACGGCGTAGCTGAACAGAATGGCACGAGGCATTCCCCAGCTCCTCAAAAGCTGTTGAAAAACTACAGCTTTCAGACGCCGAGACTATTCCAGAGCACTTCGTCGTTGAATTCAACAGCACTCTGTGTTCGGTGTTAATTTCGAGGCTGCGGAACCAAATCAATAACGTCACAGGTGCTTCGATAGACTGGTCCTCATCGCATTGCTATTGTGTTCAACTGCCCATCGCGGTTTCCCAGAGGTAAGAAACCGCCAGAATTCTGGTTCACACTCCAGAAGGGGAGTAGATGAATAGCTTTCATCAATTTGCTGCGCGGTTAAACAGAAAAAGACGACTGGTAGGCTGAGGGCTTGGGATGAAAAGACTGAAAGGAGGTAAGTTCTGTTGGCTTTCTTGGAAACCTCGCCATTTGCTTAAAGAGACGAGTAATGTTAGATGGACACCGGACACTGGTCGATTCCGACGATTTCTGCGGGTGTACCTGACAGCAAGTATAATATTGTAGATCACATCTCAAAGTTCAAGTTGATGTGGTAGTATAATTTGGCATAATCCTGAGGTATGAGGGCCGCGGGACGGCGCCGACGATGCCAAGGCCCAACCAAGAGCAAAATTGACAGTGTTGATGGTATCGAAATATCCCGGCCGGTGGTTTGCCCAGCATGGATGGCCTCCGATGGATTACAGCGGCCGTGGGTAATGTAGGAGTGAATTACGGGGTGTTAAAGGGTACAAGGACATGTCAATTCAAGTGCAAGTTAAACAAGTCAACTCACCTAAATTCAAACTCCGGCCGGTGGACAAGAATCCGGCAAGTCGATCGGGAACCCTCTTCAACGCCCCTCCGCTCAATATCAGGCTCTCGTAGGTGATGAGGCTAGCCTGCCAGCCGGGTGTTAGCACGTTGTAGATCATTTTCAGATATCTGCGCCCGCTGTTTATTCCAACATTTGACGCACACCTCATTGTATCCCGTCCTTGGTTGTTTCTTTTCCAAAGCCTGCATGGTGTAATGGTTAACACGCCTTCTTCGAATGACTCCCTCCCATCAGTTCACTTCTCCGAAGGAGCTGGTTCGACTCCAGGTGCGGGCTTACGGCTCTTCAGTAACCTTTTTTTTCCCTGGTTGAATTCCCATTTCCAGGCCAGTGAGATTTCCTCTTCCAGAGCTTTTTTCAACATCGGTGCTAATTTAAGGACCTCTGGTCTTCCGTTTGTGCTAACTAAGCTGAGTATCCTTCTCTCACAAAACAGCCAGTGGCATAGCACGCCTTCACCAATGTCTCGAAAGTTGATTTTTCTGAAGGAGATGAGATGCTGGTTCAACCCCATGTCCGGGCCCTCGGTTCCCACTATTGGTATTTGACCGATTCCCTGACCATGGTGTAATGGTTAACACGCCCTTGCCGCCTGGCATTTACGTTGCTCTCTCTGTACCCAGGGGGATTCTGGTGCGAATCCAGAAGCGAGCGTGGTCACTCAATGTCCATTTTTACATTGCTTTGGCCGGCGCTTACTCCTATTCTTAGGCGCCATGCTGTTGTTGTTGTTCATCCCCCCAAGATGTTTCTGCTTCACCTGTAACGGTTAAAATGCCTTATTTATCTTAAAGAGGAACAGAAATGATGTTGCAGGAGGAGTTCAGTTCCTGGTTCAACCCAAAGTTCGCGCATGAGACTGTTGACCAGCAATGTTTCTGTCCCTATCCGCCGTCCTGATTTTTGCACTTGAAATTTTGTGTCTTTCAACTGATAGTGTGCTGGCAGCTGCGTCGAGAACGCCTAAAGGAATAGCATTTGTGTCTTTCAACTGATAGGGTGTTGGCAGCTGCGTCGAGAATGCCTAAATGAATAGCATGATATTCTGAAGTGGCTTATGGGAAGTCACGCAGTGAGTCTTTGGAGAGAACATCGAAAACCGGATGTTGTGAACTGGTTCTAGAATTGGCGGAACAATGGACCTCAGGTGAGCTAATATAAATGAAGTCAACATTTTTCTTGCTGAACTGCCATCCGACCTATTTGATTGGCCACAGCCGAGCAGTGATGGATGAAGCGGCCGGTGATCCGCGATCTGGTCAAAGTGCCCGGCGGCCGGCGATGTGTCACTTTAAGCAAATGGCGAGGTTCCCAAGCAAGCCAAGAGAACCCCTATCCCCTTTTAACATTTCCAACGAGCGCTTTCGCTGTTCATACCCCACAAATGCTCTCACGCCCTC